GGGGGAGAGACTTTGGGCTTCATGCAAGGAAAGCAGCAGAAGCAACAGAAGTCTTTCTTTCTCTCCCCCAAACTCCGCCAGAAATGAGTCTTTGTGAGAGTCATCGTGCTGGTGCAGCCTCTTGGATCAGGATGCCTTGCAGGGTCCCAAAGACTCATTTCTGGAGGAGTTTGGGGGAGAGAAAGAAAGACTTTTGCTGCTTTCCTTGCATGCAGCCAAAAGCAGAAGAAGAAAGAAGCAGAAAGAAGCAGCCCAGTGGCCAGGCCAGGTGCATGGGGTGAGTGGGGCAAGTTCCCCCCTCCCCTTCCCCCCTTTCCCCCTTCCCCTTACTACCTAGTGTTGTTCGCAATACAAGCAACTCAAGCCTTGTGTTCCCACGGGCCATGTGGGTGGCGCAGCCTTGTGTTCCCGTGCAGCCTGGATTAATTGCTTGAGGGGGGCGTGCTTTGGGGGTGACATTTCTCTATGGACCAGCAAAATTGGCAACCACTTGGACTAGAAGACCTCCAAGGTCCCTTCCAACTCTGTTATACTGGTATAAGTTGGCTGGGATCAAGGAACACCCAGTCTGTTTTGGTGGGTTCAAAACAGGGGGGGAAATATTTCAGATTTTGGAGTGGATGTTTCAGAATTGGAAGCGGATGACTAGCGTCCAATGTCAGGCTTATGGCCTTAAAACGTTCCTCAAGGAAGAGGTTTTCTCAGAAATTTCAGCTTCGCCCCCCCCCCGGGTTGAAAGAATATTCTTTGCAGTCTGTGGCCCATCCTTGAAGTAGCAAGCAGAAACAGAGTTCACTCATCTACAACATTTCCAGGAGAGGCTAAGATGGCAGCCACAATTACTTGATCAAAAGCTTCTCCCTTTTTCATACATGTCAAAAGGGCTGAGGCTTTGACTTGAGGGGTTGTGGATGTTCTCCTATCAGATGCCTCTGAATTTCAATACTTCAATACAATATACATTTTCATCAAGTATTAATCTCTCTTAGACAGGGGTGGGATTCAGCCGGTGTAACAACCGGTTCGGTGAGTGCATGCTTTGCATGTGCACAGCGTTTGCAACTCACCTTCTGCTGCAAGCCCTGTGTGTAAAACAGCTGATGCACGGTGATCCGCTGTGCCGTGCGAAGCAGCTGAGCTGGAAAACCCGGAAATAAATCTCAGTCGGGGTAAGTGGGTAGGCCCAACAGCTGATTGTTGGAGAGAACAGGTTCTCTCCCAGCTGATCTTTGGAGCAACTGGTTTGCCCGAACCAACCTAAACCGGTAGAATCCCACCGCTGCTCTTAGGGCAGGACAGGCAATGGCTCTCTGATCATTTCCTTCAGATCCTTTCTGATCCTTTTCCTTTTATTCCCAGGAGGCCTTGAGATCAGCCTTCAGCCTCAAGGCCAGCCTATTAAGAAGCACAACGTAACTTTGCAATGCACCGCAGACAAGCACACCTTTGAAAGCCTCACCTGGTTTAAATTCAGCCCTCGAATTTCAGAAACGCGCCTGGATAGACTGCCTATGCCTGTTTGCAAGAATCTGGAGGCCCTCCAGAAACTGAATGGCACCACCATGAAGGCCGATAGGGAGACGGTTACCCTGAGCCTCTTTCTCCAAAATATCATCCTTCAAGATAGTGGGGACTACGTGTGCATCGCTCTGGACAGAAAGAGCAAAACTCGGCGCTGCCTTGTCAAACATCTCACTGTTCACGGTAAGCCCAATGCTGTATGGAGAAATGTTGCATTCAATTTTCAATTCAATCTATTTCTCGCCCACATTGAATCCGTCCAACGATACACAAAAAAATATCGGGTTCACCCGTGTTTCTATATACATGATCCTAGCTTTAACTGTCGGGTTCCTCTAATTGCTCTGCGGCAAGGACAGTTAATTTTATTGGTAGACAAAGACTCTATATGGTGGACACGGAGAGCCGTCACATTTTGTCCAATGGCAAGTTTGGAAATCACTGCATAATTTTCATGAGTTTCCCAGCCTCAAAATGACAGGAAGTCGTGTTGTTAGTTTTGGCAATCATTGTCTAAGGAGGTCACCCTAGAGCAGGGATGTCAAACTCAAGGCCCGTTGGCTGGATTCTGCCCATGGGGTGCTTAGATCTGGTCCACAGGGCTGCCCTGAAAACAGCAAAGGACTGGCCCATAGTACCTCTGCCAGCAAAAATGAAGCTTAAGAGAGCCACGTATGTCCTCCGCGGGCTCCGTTTCCACTGGCAGAAGGCTGCAGGAGGCCATCGTGGCCAAAAACGGAGCCTCGATGAGTGACGAGTGGGCCCTGGCCATACCTTTCCCAGCCATACCCCTCCCCTGCTCCCCTGAGGTCAGATGTGGTCCTCAATAAAATTGAGTTTGATACCCCTGCCCTAGAGCAATTTAACACTTAAGCAGTGATTGTCCTGCAAAACAAGAAACTACAGAGCATAAAGGGAACATACCGAAATAAATATATTTAAGATTGTTTTCAAAGTGTGTCTTTTCTTGAAGTGTAAAAACATTGGTTGGGTTGTGTAAAAACATGGCTTACTGCGTAAAGCATTGGTTGGGTTGTGCAACTTTGTGGGGCCAAAGACTGCATTGGAACCTGAACGGCATGCCAGAGTCTACACTTCAAATGTAGTGAGTGGAGCTAGAGCCAAAAGTGCATTCGATTTCATTTAAAGTGAAAGGAAATCAAGTTGAGTTATTGTGACTACATTCTGGATTACTTCCCTATTCTTTTTACCTTAACCGTTAAATTTGATCAGATTTATCTCGGGGCCATGTGCACATCTCCCAGGGATTTAGGTTGTGCTCCTGAAATAAATCACTGACAAACAAATTCCATGTATTTATGCTGGAACACTTCGTGTTCAGTCTGCAATTTTAAGAAAGATTTTCTAACAAGGCTACTAACCAGAAGTGGGATGCAAGTATTTTTACTACCGGTTCTGTGGGAGTGGCTAGGTAGGCAGGGCCATGTGACTGGGTGGGCATGGTTTATTTTATTTTTTTTGCAGCCCTCCCCGTGCTCTGTTTTTTGCCTCCTGGGCCTCAGGGAAGCCTCCTGGGCAAAGCAGTAGGCAGCAAGGGGGATCCCGGCACAGCTGATCATTGAAACAGCTGATCGTTGGGAGGAAAAAAGAAAGAAATACCAGTTCAGCTGAACCGGTAGCTGTTTTTTTTACTACCACTTCAGCCGAACAGTAGCAATTTTTACTACCTGTTTGCCTGAACCGGGCCAAACCTGTAAAATGCCATCACTGCTAGTAACCATTGTGTTCCTCCCATTGATTATAATGAAGCATCATTTGCTTTCGGGTTTGCCTTTCTAGAGGGGGAATGTTTTTCAGGGCCTGCTCTTAACATCTGCATTTCTTGCAAACAGAACCAGTGGCACCCACAATTACAGAACACCCTCGGAATCAGACAACGAACATTGGCGAAACGATAGAAGTGGTTTGCACGGCAAGTGGGATTCCTTCCCCTCATATCGCTTGGTTTAAAAACAATAATTCTCTTATTGAAGATTCAGGTGAGAAAGTTCTCCTCTATCCAATTGCTTAGGTTAAATTGCCTACTGATGTTGCAATGCTCAATGTACTGCTTATCCAATCCAAGAAATAGAATTATCTAAGAAATACTTTTTCCATTATGTCTCTTAAATGCTCCTATCAGTCATTATTGATCATTCAATGAACAAAACGGTGTCCTTTTGTCTGATATCAACTACATCCCCTGCGGATGCCTGTCAGTTATATCTATTAATAAGAGCTACATTAATTTCTTGCCCAATTCTAATCCCAGTAAGTCACCAGTTTTCTTCACAAAGGCATTATGCAATTAATTTATCATATAGAAGGGTTGCAGCATGAAAACCATTGCCAACTGATTTATTTTTTGTTGATTAAACAAAATAACCAAACAAACAAAAATTTGATAGAAAAAAATGTGATTAAACAAAAAATGATAAGGCTATAGTTCCATAAGGGAACATAGATGTCCAACCAACTATTGATTAATTATATTTATAGTTGTCAGATTGGTACTGAGGTCATGGCCTTTGATTGGAAACCTCTACTAAGAATAGAACTGTGTTGGGCTGGTTTCACTTGGGTGGGATTTCAGCCGGTTCGGACAGGTTGGAGCAATCCGGATGTTAAGTTTATATCTGATTCACTGAACTGGTAGTTCTGAAGGCTGGCGGGCCCTGCCCACCCTGCCCTGCCTCTCCCAGGAGTCTCCATGTGTTTTGGATCCCAGGTAAGTACAGGCTTAGGGAGGGTGAAAAACGGGCCTCCCAGAAAATCAAAAAGTTTGGAAACAGGCCTGTTTCTTGCCTCTGGAGGGCCTCTGGAGCCTGGGGGAGGCCGTTTTTGCCCCCCAGAGGCTCAAGGATAGTCTGGGGAGGGTGAAACACAGGCCTTTCGGAAGTTCCGGAAGTCCAGAAACGAGCCCGTTTCCAGCCTCCGGAGCCCGGGGGAGCCTGTTTTTGCCCTCCCAGAGGCTCAAGGAAAGCCTCTGGCGCCTGTGGAAGGTGAAAAGGCCATTCCTGCCATGGTGCAGGAGGCTGACTAGTCCACGCTCACGATGGCCACGGCCACCCAGCAACCGAGCAGAGAACCAGTTGTTAAAATTTTTGAATCCCACCCCTGGTTTCACTCATACTGTATCTCCATTATCACGACTAATTATGTCGTAGGGCTGAACCTCATCCCAAAAATCTAGTCTAATCCAAACAAGCTCGGGTTCAGGGAAATGTTAGGCCCAGCTCCGTCGTTCAGTTGTTCAAAATAGAAAATGTAAGGTGGAATTCTTTTAGAATGCTTCCATTCGGAGTTATAGCAAAAGAAGTCACTTGCCCTCCTTGTTGTCTCTTCTACAAGGTATTGTCCTGAAAGATGGGAACCAACGGCTCACCATACGAAGAGTGAGAAAAGAAGATGAAGGTCATTATATGTGCCACGCCTGCAACGTCCTAGGTTGTACAAAGGCAGATGCATTTTTTGAAGTGGAAGGTTGGTGGCATTATGCGTTCCCACGGTGATGTTGGAAAGTCTTACTTTCTGTGTCCTTCCTTCCTTAGAATTGTGCTACCTCTGTTAGTGAACTCCTTGGAATTGTGTTCACTCTGTTAATGCAAGTCCAGATGCTACTAGTTTCAATTGATAAATAAAAACAGAGCTGAAGAGAAGCAAACTTGCCAAATCTGGGGCCATACAGGAAGTCCAGAAGCTGGATGGCAGAAGTGCCAAAAATCTAAGTGGAAGCAAAAACCTTGGAATTTGGTGAAAGACCAGGTTCATACATGAAGGTTCAATAAAACTGATTTTTTGCTAAAAGTTTATGCACTGGAATCTTCTCAGCTAATGGTTGGCGGTGCCTGCTTAGAGTTAGTAAGGGGAAATTAGACTTAATTCTGTAATGGCAGCATAGGGATTTTCAATCCGCCCCTAGGTTCTGCCATCTATCTATCTATCTATCTATCTATCTATCTATCTATCTATCTATC